GAAAGTTTAAAAAAATACAATTTAACATTACTTTTTTCTTTCATAACTTTCGTTTAACAATTTTGTTCCGATTTACACAGTTTCAATACTAAAAATAAAAGATTGCTATACATAAAATAAATTTTTAAATCTTTTACGCAACTACGTTCAAAGTTACACCACGATTCAAAGTTACCCGAATTGACTGTAATATATTAATTTAATAATACACCAGTACCAATGTAGATATATTGGTATTGGTATTGGTGCAACGGGCTAGTTTCCGCAACTCTACGTCAGTGTAGATATAGTATGAAAAATGGAATATTTTTTTAATATTAAAAACAGCCACATGGTTTCCAACTATCGATTAGGTAGGACCACATCACTCGTTGACTAGCGTCACTACAGGCGTAAAACGCGCCGTGAAATGTGCTACTAATTTTACATACTTAACTGTTGCATTCTACAGATGCCGCGGTTCCGGGGCAGACGCGGGTGAAAACAGCTCCGTGAGTTCGTAGTGTAACGAAAAATGAGTTTCAGCGCCATCTAACGTGTAATAGTAAGCTATTATATATTAGTACTATTTTTACTAAAACGCCACCTATTGGTGAATGGCTGAACCAGGATGGAAAAGATACTGAAATATTGTAATATAACTCTTATTCAAGTGACTGCAAGTTTAATTTTGTTAAATTTTAAAATTGTTTTACATCGTTTTCACGTTTTAAGCCCTACCCAATCAAAATCTTTAAGTTATGGTAGTAGATAATAGAGCGTAAAGTTTGAATTGCACACAAGCTAAAAAGTGGCGACATCGGCACCCGATCTTACATAGCGTCATTACATATCTCCCCTTTTTGTCTATATCTATGGTTGGACGTGGTTACAGGGTGGAGTCGGCAGGTGTCAGGTCGATGGAATTGTTCTTTGTGTTCGATGTTTGTATGAATAACGGCGGTGTGTTCAGATTACGGAGTGTGCCCCCAGCGGCACCCAGTTCCAGGCCGTCTTACTACTCCGGGCCAAGGCAGCGGCCTTGGTAACGGTATGACAGGGGTGCGAAGAATCCCCGGGTTACGGAAGGCTGCCACAAATTGACCTTGGCAACGTATAATGGACGCAGTCTGCGGCTAGACGAAAGTTTGATGCAATTCGAGGTGGAACTTGAGAAAATAAGGTGGCATGTGATAGGATTGTCTGAAGTTCGAAGACAGGGGGAGGACACGACTACTCTAGAATCTGGCCACCTGTTCTACTTTCGAGAGGGCGACCAACTATCCCACGGAGGCGTAGGGTTCCTTGTCAACAAAGTTCTCCGTGACAACGTCCTGGACGTGTCCAGTGTAGCGTCCGGCCCGCGACCCGGGTAGCGTACCTTGTCCTGATGCTAATCGAGAGATATTCTCTCAAGGTTGTACAGGTATATGCGCCGACGTCGACATATTCGGACAGTGAGGTCGAAGCCGTGTACGAAGACGTGCGAAAGGCTCTACACAACACTTCCACGACCCACTTCACCGTTGTTATGGAGGACTTCAATGCCATAGTGGGAGCGCGCATATGCGAGGAATCGTGCATCGGACAACACGGTATTGGACGGCGAAACCAAAGGGGCAAATGCTGGTAAACTTCCTGGACATGCAGGGGCTGTTCTGCATGAACACTTTCTTTAAGAAGAAGCCCCATAGAAAGTGGACCTGGCAAAGCCCCAATGGTATAACGAAGAACGAGATCGACTTCATCCTGACGGACAATACGCGTATATTTGGGGATATCTCTGTGGTCAATAGGTTCAATACCGGTAGCGAGCACAGACTCGTAAGAGGTACCCTAAATAACGAATTCAAGGTCGAGAGAAGCCGTATGATGAGATCTCTTTTTCGTCTAACGCTGCTTCAAACTACGCATAGCTCCGAAGCGTTCCAGTTGGAACTAAGCAATCGCTTCGCTTTGCTGAAAACCACGGCAAACGTTGATAAGGACCTTGAAGGTGTGGTAGGGGTAATTCGCGAAGAGGGAATTAGGCACTTCAGAACACAGCGAGGGGCCCGAAAGTCCAAACTCTCGATTGAGATTCTGGAATTGATGAAGACACGACGCGAGACGCCAGAGGAAGCTTCGTCAGATGTCCGTTGTCTCAACAAAACCATCCGCAGGTCGATGAGACGTGACCTCCGTAGCTTCAATACGCAACTCATACGAGAAGCTATTGAGAGGAATCGGGGGTCGAAAGTCTTTACAAAAAGACTGGGTAGATGTCAACTGATGAAGCTACACACCTCGGACAGTAAAACTGTCACATTAGTTCCAGAAACTCTCGCAGAAGTCGAGGGCTTTTACAACAGTCTATATGCCTCGCCTCCAAAGCCACCACCCAACGCGAACGACTCCAGAGCCACACTTTCACGCCACTTTACACACGATCTGCCAGAAGTGGACGAAGAAGAAATTGGGAGGGTTCTTAAACAGCTTAATAATGGGAAGGCTCCCGGCGAAGACGGAATAACCTCTGAGCTTCTCAGGGCAGGAGGAGACCCAGTGCTCAGAAAGATCAAGGAGCTATTCAACGCCGTCATAGCCAATGGGACTACCCCGGAGGCGTGCAGCAGAAGCGTGGTAGCTTTGTTTTTCAAGAAAGGAGACAAAACCCTTTTGAAGAACTACAGACCTATTGCGCTCCTGAGCCTCGTTTATAAGCTGTTTTCGAGAGTCGTCACAAATCGTCTCGCCGGAAGATTTGCTGCTTTCCAGCCGCCAGAACAGGCAGGAACACCGTGGATCACATACACACTATTCGGCAGATTATACAGAAGTCCGAAGAGTATACTCAGCGACTGTGTCTAGCATTTGTGGACTACGAGAAAGCCTTCGACTCCACCGAAACCTGGGCTGTTCTGCAATCCTTGCAGCGATGTCAAGTCGATTGGTGGTACGTAGAGGTGCTGAGAAATCTGTACACCAAGGCCACGATGTCCGTCCAAGTACAAAGCAACAAGACAAGACCCATCCAGTTGCACAAAGGCGAGAAAATTCTCCGAAACTGTTCTCAAACGCTCTGGAGGACATCTTTAAGACACTTGATTGGACCGGATTGGGCATCAATGTCAATGGCGAAAATCTCACACATTATATGTGAAGAACTACATACAAAAAATATATGTAATTAGATTGAAGTCGTTGTAAATGACGAAGTAAATGCAAGTGATCAATTATTTTTTTGCAAAGAGCATCTATTATATGTATGTATGTATGTGTATATGTGTGTGTGTGTGTGTGTGTGTGTGTGTGTGTGTGTGTGTGTGAGTGCGTGTGTGTGCGTGTGTGCGTGCGTGCGTTCGGGCGTGCGTTCGGGCGTGCGTGCGTGCGTGCGTGCGTGCCTGCGTGCGTGCCTGCGTGCGTGCGTGCGTGCCTGCGTGCGTGCGTGCCTGTGTGCATGCGTCCGTGTGTGTAAAGCGGAACGTTCAAAAAATGAAGTATGAAATTATTTGATTTTTAATTCGGGACTTAATCACGTATTAACATATTTTATTTACCTCGACGTTTCGGACATATTGCAACGTCCATGGTCTCGCAGGGACTGAAGAGGCGGGTGTCAGCAACTTCTAGTTGTGCGAGTTTTTCTAACTACCCGCACTTTATCTTCATTACTTATTTGTGCACTAGGGTTCTCACTACACCGACACACAATACTCACGACATCTTAAATACTCGTATTCAATGCAGTAGAAGCACATTTGCAGGTGGCAACAGTGCATGGTATTGTCAAAGACGTCAAAGTCATCTTTTCGCGGTTATAACTTAGAGTAGCAGGGTTCTAGGGTTATAGCCGCCATTTTGCGGTTGGTTTAAATTGCACATTTGCATCCTTTATATGCCGAGTAGATAGAGATAACGTATCGCGTGAGCGGCTAATTTGTGTTGTGAACGTGTTATGAATGGCATTTACACGTATATACAGTATTCGTCAGTTATAGGAATATTAATAATAATTATACGTACTTCGTGCTCTGAAGTATGGTTGTATTGGTTTAACAGTTTTTTTCTGGTAAAACTGAATATTTAAAACTTCTTTTTCAAGATATGTATTGTGGAATGAAAGTATTTTGTATTTTGTATTTCAAATACACCTCAAGAAAGTATTTGGTATTTTGTATTTTAAATAC